ATCTAATTTGTTCCTTTTTTCTTAGAAATAAATGCATAAGCTTTGCATCCAAATACCTTTAGGGTTTGACATATTGGGTATTATGAGAATATGCCATATGTGTGATCAAAGTAAGGGAGGGCTTGACAAAAGAGACAATAAAAAAATTAAGAAAAAAATAAAAAGAACAGGGCACATCCTCTCCAGCAACCAACACCAGACAATCAAGCAGAAAACATTTTTTAATCAAGGAGCTAAAAGGAGAAAAAACCTCCCTCCCCACCATCAACACTGTCAGGACAAGCTAACTGAATATAAACAGAGAACAAATCCACTCCGTCAGCTGCCACCTTAATGCTTGCTTGTGCTTCACTACTATTCAGTGACAGACTGACATGAACTATGGGGAGGAAGGAAGGCAAGGGGGAAAACGAAAGTAAGTGCTATATCTCTTTGAGATACTACTTCAAAGTTACCTAGCATACCAGCTACATACCATCCCTGGCTTGAACTGACTATTACAAAAACATCCTGTCTGAACCTGACTGGTTGGGGGGGGAAGGGGACTGGGAGGGCTGTGCAATGGGTGGTAGCTAAGGGAGGGAAAAATTGAACTTAGTGATTCTCAGTTCTGGCTATGCATTAGTGCAATACACTTCATTTATAATAAAACTATACCTTTCTCAACAAATGGAGCCAAAGATCATTTCTATTTAGAGGTTTAAGTTGTGGCAGGTTTGACACATTCCCTCCTAGCAATGAAGATGTTACTTCATTGATGTTAGTTGTCAACCTTGAATGGACCTGGCCGAAGCCATTTTCCTTGTTTCCAGTTGCCAGAAGATGGGGGGGGGAGGAGGAAATGAGATGTTTTCTATTAGACTAAACATTTTCCAATCCCATGGGAAGCAAGGTCATTCCTGTTTTCCTCAGCTGGGGAGGATATTTTTTGTATTAGAAAGGCCACCTGGATGTGTTATTGGGGAACGTAGTTGATTGCATAGTCAGTGGAGTGGGTCTGTAACTTTGTATTACTGTTGCTTTTCAGAGAGGATTTTAGTCTTGATTTCACTTTTGACCATGCTGATACTTTGTATCCAATAAACATATTCTCAGAGGAAACCTCAAGCCTCAGAGTTCTGTTTTGTTTGGCCTCATCTATCGGAACCATGACATTAAACCCTTAATCATTAATTAGGGTCCTGAGTCCCAGTCACCTACCTAACACCTGTATGAGAATCATGAAGACTCAGGGAAGAATTTGAGATGGAGAAGAGAGGAGATGTATCTTCAGGCCTTAGAGCGGCATCGGCCACTGGAACACAGGCTACCACTCAGGTGGAGAGAGGAGCCTTGGCTGCAGGTGCATGGCCGAAGATTCAGATGGCCTCATTGGAAGGTCTGGAACAGTTGGAGGGAGCCTTAACTTTAGGGGAGCTTAATCATCTGAGATCACCTCACAGAGACAGAGCACCTCTAAAGCTGCTAAGGCAGAATTCCCTCTGCTGTCATCATGCAACCTGTGATTTCCTGTGATAAGAACAATGAAATGACCTGCTGGCTGGGATGACTCGGGTGAATGGAAGTACCTGATGGCCATCCACAGCCATTCCGTGGAGAGACTGAGAGAAAAGTTCAACCAGCTGGAGGTTGGAGAAGTGGAACCTGTCACCCACTGGGTGATCTCTGGGGGAAGAAAACATGGGAGGTCTCCTATGCTCCCCCCCTCCTCAGCAAAGCCCAAGCCCCATCATGATGGCTCGTGCTGCTTCACCTCTGCCCTGACCAGCCTTGGCTTTGAGCCCTATGCAGCAATGTACACCCAATAGGGATCGGCATCCTGCAAGCCTGGGAGCTCAGCCCAGAGGGCTTCCAGACATGGCTCCCCTACAACTTCAACACTTAAGACCAGACATACAACAGACATATTGGGGACCACGGCCCTTAGAGCCACCTCTGATCAAATCTACTTTTGATGGAGACCCTGAAAAGCTGTCATTCTTTGTGAACTAGGTCTGGGCCCACCTGAACCACCACACTCGCGCCTACCTCAATGCGGCCGAGATGATTGATATGGTGGTGGTGAACCTCGAAAGGGAAGCCACCGAGTGGGTGACCACCCTACATGGTGAACAAGCCCCTCAGTTGTGGGACATCAATTTATTCATGAGTGAGCTGAGAGCCAGGTTTGAGGATGACTCCCAAGCCCTGCAAGTTGAGAAGGACATCCATGACCTGAAGCAGAGATGGAAGCCAGCTAAGGGGTATGTTTGTGAATTCAGGAAAGTGGCTGGCAGGCTCAGACAGTGGCTCGCTGATTCACCATTTCTGAGCAGGTCTGGATTGAGATTTGTTCCAGGCATGCACCTACTGAGGCGTCTCTGCCAAGGTCCGAGAGTGGTACCACATGGCCATAACCCTAGACATCAAGCTGGATCGCCACTTGAAACCTAGCACCTCAGATTTCAGGCTGAGGTGGATCCAAGAGAAACATCCCGCAGCTCGATGCTCTCCAGCTGTGGCAGTCACCAGCTGTTTGCGCTGCCATGAAAAAACAACCCGGGAAACCTCCTGGGTTGCTGCAACCAGTAGCCAGTCCTTCGTAATACAGTAATATGGACTATCATTGATCTTTTTTCCAAACAAGCTCATTTTGTAGCCTGCTCAGGGCTCCCGTCCATGCAGAAATTAGCAAAAATGTTTTTGAAACATATATACCACCTACATGGTGCCCCAAAGAGAATTATATCAGACAGGGGGTACAGTTTACTGCTAAGTTTTAGAAAGATTTCCACAAGCTAATTGGATCCACTCAAGAACTTTTGTCAGCTTTTCATCTGAGCACAAATGGATCGGCTGAACATACGAACGCCATGGTGGAGCAAACTTCAGATGTTATGTTAATTATCAACAGACTAATTGGGCTGACCTCCTGCCTTTTGCTGAAGTAGCATATAACAATATGGTGCACAGTTGTACTGGACTTACTCCATTTAAAATAGCAACTGGTCAGGAGTTCATTCCTATGCCTGAATGTCCTCAGGAACCACCAGCCTCACAAACCTTTGATCAGTGGGTTGCTTCTTGGCAAACTGTTTGGGCTAATGCGAAAAACACTCTAACACAAGCTGCAAAGACTTACAAGGAACAAGCCAATAAGAAGCGGTCCACTCAGAGGCCATTTTGCATTGGGGGAAAAGTGTATTTGTCCACTAAGTACATAAGACTTAAGCTGCCCAGTAAGAAGTTGGGACCAAGGTTTCTTGGGCCTTTTCCTATAATCAGAGTTATAAACCTTGTGACTTTTGAGCTGAAACTCCCTCGCTTGTTAGGGAAAATTCATCCTGTTTCCCATTGCAGTTTGTTAAAGCCTCTTAGGGAGTCCTCACTGAGGCCAACTCCAAAGGACGCCTGTGGTCCACTTTTGATACAGAGGGGAAACCATTATGAAATTAAGCAAATCCTTGATTCTAGATTATACAAGGGGAAATTGCAGTATCTAATGCAATGGAGAGGATATCCATTGTCAGAGGCCACTTGGATGAAAAGTGCAGATGTTAAGGCTGATCGATTGATAAAGAGATTTTATAATAAACATCCTCAGAAAGATTTGTTTTCTCTTTAGGGGATCCAACTGTCAACCTTGCAATGGACATGGCTGAAGCCATTTTTCTTGTTTCTGTTTGCCACAAGATGGGGGGAATGGGACATTTTCTATTAGACTAAACATTTTCCAATCCCTTGGGAACCAAGGTCATTTCTGTTTCCCTTAGCTGGGGAGGATATTTTTAGTATTAGAAAGGCCACCTGGACGTGTTATTGGGGAACGTAGTTGATTGCATAGACAGTGGGGTGGGTCTGTAACTTTGTATTACTGTTGCTTTTGGGAAGAGATTTTAGTCTTGGTTTCACTTTTGACCATGCCAATACTTTGTATCCAATAAACATGTTCTCAGAGGAAACCTCAAGCCTTGGAGTTCTGTTTTGCTTGGCCTCATCTATCGAAACCATGATATTTGTCAGATAATGACATGTCTGTAAGCAAACAACTAAGCTCAGAGAATAGCAAGGATGCCACATGGGCATATTGTCTTCCTTTGTATATAATTTTGTTCTCTGACCACTCCTGATAGCAAACAAATTACAGAGTGGATCAGAGAAAGCTGATTAACTTATAAAATTTGAGAGGCAGAAAAACACCAGTCTCTGATCTTCAGTTAGCACACAAGTCTGTAATATTAACATTGCTTATTCTTTCATAGAAACCTAGCTTTGGAAACAGGTCTTTGGAAGTCTTCTAGTCCATAGCTACTACCAGTATAGTAACTACAGTTATAGTTACAGATTTAGTTTACATTATATGTATTTCAATGTATGTTCTGAAATCCTTGAATTACTCTAATTTCATCACCTTTCTTAGTATAAGTCAGTCTCTATCCTCAGAGATCCGTTACTTTCTGTATTATATCTTAAGGCACGTTCCCTTAGCAGAACACTAGAGGGTCTAAGTAGCAAGGAAACTACTTTTGCCTTATGGCTATGGACAGTAGTGGGATTCAAATATGTGAACAACTGGTTCTCTATGTAGATGCCGCTTCCGGAAGCCCGTTCTAAGCCTGGGCAACAAAAAATTAGCTACTGGTTCTGCTGAACTAGTGTGAACCAGCTGAATCCCACCACTGGCTGTGGAGTGTTTTAGATTCAGTTCCAAAAGATTGTGCACAGATGCAGCAGTTGTCAGTTATTTGTTAAAGTGTGCTGTTTCCAGGTTCATACCCTATAGACACTAACTGATGCTGTATTCCGCTTGTTTTTTGGTCCCTCTATTTATGAAATGCATGGTAAAGAGTTGATTTCCAAACTAAAGTGCAATTTACAAAACAAACAAATGTACTTAAAAAGATAGAAACCACATTTGAAATATAAAAAAGCTATATTATTTTATGGGGAAAAAATCATCAAAAGGACTACAAATGCTGAAAGATTAGCTTTTTCTATAAATGCCTCTGGAAATATCTTACTTTCAGAGTTTCTTTACCTCCTCCTTGGACAAAGCATACAATTGGAATCTTTCCGCCATAATTAGAATCTGAAAAACAAGTATATAATACATAAACAGATGACTTTTAGCAATACTATAAATTTTCCCTATTTTAATTAACAGTGTATCAAAACCTGTCTTCCAATTTCCAAGTTTACTTTCACTGAAATAAGCCTCAGTATGCACATCAGCCTCAGTATCCACATCAGATTAGTAGATAGAATAAATTGAATACAGCATATATTGTCAACCTCATGGTTTATTTCCTGCTTTCAGCTAATTAACCATTTTAGATACTTTAGAAATCTAATATGTGAGGGAACCAACATCTGACTAATCTGCCAGATATAACTCATAAAAATACACACACACACCCCATTTTTATTGGGTATAATTGTCCATAAAACAAAGTGTGCCTGGAGCCTTCAGCAATGTATCTCCAAAAGATTGCAGAATAGTTAATTCTGGTAACAATCATCAAATTGCTATCCTACCTTTGAGTATACAGAATGTGGCTACTACCTTCTTACAGACTTTTCAGTCTTGGTTATTAAAGAAGGAAGCATATTGTTACCTGATGGGACCAATTTAGATAATTTGAGATTAGACAAGAGATCAGTTCCATCTTCAAAGGATAGATAGGGGATTTTAAAAGTACATACAAGAGCATACTAAATTCAGTGTCTGAATGTACTCTGGATAGAAGATATTTCTTGAATCTCTGAGAATATCATGGAAGATATTTAAGCATGTCAGTCTGAGTTCCCTCCTGCATGAGGATGGAAGTAGTGCTTTCTTTGTTTAAAAAAAAAAAAAAAAAAGGTGCCAGAACTCACACACGTCATACAACCCGCCTTGCCTACCCTACAAGGTTCCATCCAAAAAAGGTGCAGGAACTCCATTCTGGGCGTTCTATGACAAAAAAAGCCCTGGATGGAAGTATATAGTAAGAGTATTTGGGGATGGTGAAATTAACGTGTTATAAGCAGTGGTGCAAGGTGATTGAAATTCTATGCTCATTCCAAGTTTTTTTTTTTACAATCCAATATAGATAGGGATTTGGGAGTGAGTCCACAGTAGACTAGATTGAAGATTATTTTTTTCCTCCATGGCAAATTGTATCAATTTATCAATATAAGCTGAACTAAGGATTCATCTTATAGGTGTGTTTAAGCTAGTACTTTGATTGGTAGAATCTCAAGTGGGCCTCAACAAGGCTCTAACTAGAGAAGTACATCTGTGATAAAACAAGGAATTTGGAGTGGAGAGCTCAGGAATTTGAATTTAATTGCTTCTGGTGCAAGGATATTTTTATAGAGAGAACACTTTGCACCAAACTTCTGTTTGCTGAGGTAAATATTTGATGGAGGACATGATTAAGAATAATTATTGGCCTGCACTCAAACAATACATGACAAAATGATGAAATTGCAGAGATTTTAGCATCTCTGGGGCAGATTTACCCATTTAATTAGTTCATTGTATGTGAGAAAATCCAAAATTAGCCATTAAACAAGGCTGAAGCAGGGACTCAACATATAGATCATACAATAAAGATTATATAACCATTGGAAAATGATCACTTTTGCAATCTATTTTAAGGTTGACGCTGGAATGTAGCAGGTTATGAGATATTTTCAGAGCTATCCTTTTGGACTGTTCCATTTGAAATGCAGATCTAATTTTGGAAAACTGTGGCAAACTCCTGCATGATTATAATTTTAGAATAATCTTTAGAATAATCTTAGCCAGGAAATCTGGCTAATAATCTTCCCATCAGGAAAAGATTGGTAACATTTTGCATGTAAAACCAAAACATTTTATCCTAATTTTGACATAAAATCATTGCTTCACATAAATTTGGGAATACAGCTAGTTCTATTACTGTATGATCATTTGTTCAATGACTGTTCAAAGTTATCATGCCCCTGAAGGAAGTAGATTTATTTATTTATTAAATTTGTATGCAGCCCATCTTACTTTCAGCAACTCTGGGTGATTTATGACCATTGCAGCATCCCTGTGGTCAAATGACCATGATTTGGATATTTGCCAACTGGCTTGCAATTACAATTGTTGTAGCATCCCACAGTCATGTAACTGTCATTTGCAATCTTTCCTGACAGCTTCCCAAAAACAATGGGGAAACCTGCAGGCTGTTACAAGTCAATTGTGCAAGTTGCTCCTGATCCCACCACTTTTCCACCAGCCACAGTACCCATCTACTCATACTTTATGTGGGTGCCCATGCATCTGCCAACCCATCTTCCTGCAGCACCCATCTACCCACACTCGATAGTACCATCTGTGGTGGGATTGTAGTCACTAAGCAATGCAATCACATGATGTTATGCTTCATGATTGCATTGCTTAGTGATGGAAATTATCCAAATTACTATTGTAACTCAGGGACTACCTGTATTTAGCATGTTATAATTTCTTTAAGAATATACAGTATATACAAAGGGTATAATCTGCCTGCAATGAATTATTGCTTGAATGTTATCAGCATAGCAATAGCAAGCTTATCAAAAGGGGCTGCCCTTACATATGAAGTTGAAACCTTGATGAAAATTAGTATTCATTAAGATATTCATCAAGCATATCTCAGAAACAACCAACAGACCAATACAACCACATGGAATCAGCATAGCGCACAAGTCAACTAAAACCCTTCAAAACATCCTAAACAGACCAAAAGTCCCAACAATCCCAGAAGAAAAAAAGGAGTTATCTATAACAGGGCTTTTCAACCAGTGGTACATGTACCACCAGTGGTACTTTAGCACCTGGCTGGTGGTACGTGAGCCCTAGCTAATTGTAGTGGGGGAGGGAACCAGTTAAAGCAGAGCTGCACAGACCTGGAGGAGCAGAGCTTGGCAGAATCTCCAGGATCTGCGCACATGGCGACATAGCAATTGGAGCTTCCAGTGCCCCCGGAAGAGAAAAGGAAGAGGAGGGCAGAGAGAAGAGAAGGTATAAAAGGGGCCGACCAAGAAGAGAAGAGGCTTTTCTTACCAAAGCAGTGAGGAGAGACAGAGGGAGTGGCCTGTTTTCAGAGGAACAGTGAGCGAGCAGCCTGTTTTCGGAGAAAGGGTGAGTGAGCGAGTGGCGTGTTTTGGGGGGAAGGGCAAGCAAGCGAGCGGCGTGTTTAGCAAGCATGTGTTTTCAGGCAAAGGTTGAGTTAGTTAATTTATCTTTAATTAATATTCAGTATAGTTAATAATTATTCTCCATTTACATATTGAGGAGATAGGCCCCCCAAATTAACCCTTATCATTATATTACATGGTAGTACATTCCATCCCATTCCATTAATTAGAAAAACTGAACCAATAGTCATCTCTAACACTTGATTGGATTTAAACTTCATTGCTTTTTAGAACTATATACCAATGCTATCCAAGGAATATCCTACTTTACTTGAGAGCCACTCAGTAATGGCAATGTTAGTGCTTCAATATCCTCTGAATTTTCTTGTGCACATTCATAATCATATCCAGGGAAAAAATGCAGGATAGATCTGTCACCTTCTTATGACCCCACAATCAAGTAAGTGTTAAATGCAGACACCTTCAATAGTGTCTAGTTTTCTTTTCCTTTCCTTTCCTTTTTCTTTTTCTACTTGCTGATCCAGCCTACAGCTTGGAGATCTCCAAGTGGTTCCCCGTCCAACCACTGACCAACACTGACCCTGATTAGCTTGCTAAAAAAAGCCAAGATGGGTTAATTGAAATGCCAAGTATTCAGATTAGTAATTTCAAAGAAACTTTCTTCCTCCTCCTCCTCCTCCTCCTCCTCCTCCTCCCCTGCTCCCTCCTCTATTTCTCCTCTGTTTCTTCTTCCTCTTTTTCTCCTCTTCCTCTTTCTTCTCCCTCATCTCCTCCTCTTCTTCTTTCTCCTCCTCCTTCACCTTCCCTTCCTGTTTCTCCTTTTTTCTTCCTCCTCTTCCTCTTTTTTCTCCTCTCCTTCCTNAACGGGAGGGCTTCCTTGTTCCTAGATATCAGGCTGAGGAGGGATAGGAAAATCTTTGTTTGTTTTGGGACAGAGGGGCTCCATTGGATGTGGGCTTTGGTGGCCTTTTGTGGAGGGAAGAGTGGAAGGTTAATGGCAGAGAGGCAGGCACAAGTTTCCCATTAAAAGTGTGGTAAGTGGGTACACTTTTTTCTTGGGGGTTGTTTTTTTTGGTCATTAAGTTTTTGATACCTTGCTAAGCCACTGGTGGTGCTCGAATATTGTCATGTCCTAAAGGTGGTACAGTCTGTGAAAAGGTTGAAAAGCCCTGATCTATAACATACAATGTACAGATAAACAGGCAGAAGACTGGCAGAACACATCCACGAACACCAACCAGGAGTCAGAAGACATGATGAAAATTCTTTAATTCCCAACATATAGACAGCTTTAACCATAGTTTCAGTTGGAAAAATGTGACTATCCTAGACTAAGCTATAGTAAATTCAAAAACACCAGGGAATTTCTAGAAGCCTACCACTCTTACAAATCAGCCATCAATACAGTATACACATAGGTATTTACAACATCTACAGACTATGCAAAAGGAGCAAAAAGACCTAAGCACCTCTCCACCAACAATCAGCACCCAGATCTGCATAGATTAACTCCAAGGTTAACATCAGACCAACAATCAAGTAAATAATACCCCAATAAAGAAACTGCCAAAGAAGCCAACAGCAAACAGCCCAATCAAAAAATCTCTAAGACCACTCTCAGCAACACTGACAGGAAAGCCACCAGAATATAAAGCTGACAGCAAACTGAACTTCTTACTAGCATTGATGACATTATCTAGTTTGGGTAATGAATCATCTGCAAGAAAACAAGCAAACTCAGAGAGCACTAAGGACCCCTCTAATATCTTCTTAAAAGCTCCAGGGATGGAGAATCCTCAACTTCTGGAGGCAAACTGTTCCGCTACTAATTGTTCTTACTGTCAGGAAGTTTCTCCTTAGTTCTAGGTTGGACCTCTCCTTGATCAGTTTCTATCCATTATTTCTTTTCCTGCCCACAGGTGCTTTGGTGAATAC